ATCATCGTCGGTGTATTATATAATCATATATAATTAATATTTATAGTTCACGAATTAGATTGATTTCGTTTTAAAATTTGTAGTAAAATAATCTACACGATTTTAATCCAAAGAAACGTCTGGAATGGAAGTGGAAACCTTCCGGACGAAAATTGAAAGCTGAGGAAAACGGCCCTTCATTTTCGGAAGAAAATAGTTCCGCTCCGAAAATATATTATAGGTATAGGAATGAATATATTATATTATACATATATATAACACCTATCTCTTCATCTAAAATATCCGTATACAACCGAATAAAAATATTTTATTTAAACACACGTATACAATATAGGTACCCGTATTAAATTGTCACAAAGTATTATATAAACTCGCGCGATATCATGCGTCTTGTTTAATAATAAAGTATACCGTGTAGGTTATCTATTATTTAACTATAGATTTTGATTTTCCGAGGAGTTGAATTATGACGCGAGATTGTTAAAAAAAAAAAAAAAAAAAAAAATGTCCAAATAACGTCTCCGGGGTACAATGAATTTGCCTGATGTACGCGCTGGCTACTTTTATAAAAATATATTATTTATTTCGGACCCCGGAAATCTCTTTACAGTCGCGATGCAATATACGACGACGCGTCGAAGTTCGGATACGGACACACGCGATTAATAAAATATCTATACACTTATCTATTTATCCGAGCGATATTGAAATATTTTCCAACGATGTTTATATTTTACTGATGCTGCGACGCGTCAGTGGCGTGATCATGATTTTATCCTGGCCGGCGGTAGGGAGGTTTGGTGTCGAACGCAGGCGGTATATATTGGGAATTTACGAAACTCCTCTACGGAAAATTATTACGAGATCAGTTATAACGAAAAATAAATAAAAAAAAAACCTATCAGATAATTATTGAATGCTAAAACGATAATAATATTCTTATATTATCAAAAGCACTTACGAAATTAATCTACGTCTGTTTGCGTCAAGTATAATCTTGATGTCCTTGTCGTGTACTGCAGCCAACATTGTGAATCTGTTTAACCGCGCTCGAAAATGTTTAAAACCGTTAATCAATAATTGTGTTAAATCATGTCAGTAATACAATGAGCAAATAAAAAACGATTTACTTCGGCCATCGTGTCCCGCAGGTACGTTTTTTGTAGTTCAGGGAGCTTTGTGAAGGCTGCAATAACATTCGAGAACAGCTAGGGCTCTGTTATACCATCATACAGTCCATATACCGGTGTATGTATATATGTTAGCAGATTATAAAGCCGTTATAAGGTAAGATTAGGTCGATTTTTAGTCAGGATCTTTTATTTTATATTTATTATGAATTTTCCTTAATGTTTACATTTTTTTTTTTTTTTTTTTAATTTTAAGTTATTACATTTTTTTTTTTTTATCAAATATTGACTTATTGATTTATCGCTCTCTTCTTCCTCGAGTACCGAAGATGCTATATTATACTAATAATGTTTTTTTTTTTTTTTAAAAAAAAAAAAAGATTTGTATGATTAATTGGCATGGTATAATATAAACTCCATAACAAAAAGAAAAATACCGGCGGATTTATTCATCTTATGAATAGATTTTATTAATTGTATTATTATTATAACTATCAAAATACCTCCTTGTTATAACCACTCTGTATACATAATATAATAATAATAATAATAATAATAATAATAATAATAATAATATTGTATGATGCAGGGTTTCCGCGCGCACACGATTCGTTTTAAAAACGAATTATTATATTTCAGTAAACAGGGTAATGGGCGAATGGCAGAGGAGCTGCAGCGGAGTAACAAGGGGTTGGATAAAATTAATTGCGTCCGGTTTTTATATATATATATAAATTTGTTTGTGCGAGTGTGTGTGTGTGTGTGTGCGTGAGTACGATTTACCCCGTCGTCCGAAAAGATAAAAGAAAACTAATCAAAAAGTTTTTAATTAGAATTTTTCCGCTTTGTATTGGATTTGGGTTCGTGTGTGTATATATACATATTACGTACATACATATATATGTACAGTTGGCCGGAAACTAATTATCGGAAGTTTTTTTTTTTTTTCGCCACCATTATCCAGATTCCACCAAGGTTATGACGTGTCCGTTATATTTTCGGGTAAATCGCGTTTGCTATCATAATATTTTCTTTCGCTGCTTTTGCTCCGTATCCCACCGCGATATTTATATTTCTTCTTATTTTTATCTACCTATTACAATCTTTTTACTAGCGCACCACGGCGTCGCCTAACTATTAAATTCCTCTCAGTTATTTTTTGTATTTTCCAAATTTTCATTTTTTATGTTCACAGCGTATTTAAGACTTCGGTCCTTACAGGTGCTGCGGGATGCCCGTTCATTATCGGTCGTTTACTTCCTGTTGGTGTAGGTGTATTGCCTTCAAGCTGTACATGGTTATTCCGCCCGAGAGTCAGGAACGTATTTAAAAAGGTGTAATTGAGGGGGGGAGGGTGGTGCTAAGAGTTCCAGTTGTAGAAGTAAGTTTTTTGAGTTGGTGTTGTCAATATTTATTTCAAATATCTTGGAAAATTCTATTAGTCCACCCTATTAACATTTAAAAAACTTCATTTCGATTGGCTTTAAAGGCTTTGATTACATTTTTAAATAACATTTAAAACAGCTCTGAACGGTTTTGCTTAATACAGTGTTATATTTAAACACTTCATGTTTTAATATTATAAAAATAGAGACATAGTAGGGCTTAAGTAGGTCTGTGCGAGGGGATAAGCCTCCTATAACCTCCCTTAAATACACCCCTGCTTGGTGTATGACCTGACCATTGTCTAGCTACATTATAATATAAAAACCTTTTAACCTGTATCTAACTATACCGTGCATTCCAAAAGATAGGGGCCACTTTACCACTCATTACCCTGTAATTATTTTTCAATTCTGTTGTCGGGACATTAAACTTAACTAATGGATAATAAATTCCTACAACTTATGTAGTATAAAATAGGGGATTCTAAGCCAGGAACAGGAGTAGGAGCAAGGATCAAGTGCTATACTTAATACATGGCTGCCCGAATTTTCAACCACTTCATAGACCATTTAGGTCACGCCTACTTTCGACATTATTACCACATTGTTATCACGGTTATATCTGCTGTTTTTACAATTATACCTAATACATATAACGGTATACCTACTGTTATCACAAGTTATACAATATTTTATCTTATCATATAAATAAGAAAGTAACCTTACTATACTTTAAACTACCCAGTTTTAACTACTTTTAAGTATTATGCTACATTTATATAACCTTATTAGAAGGGTTTTTTTTAAAAAAAAAGACAAAATTTATATAAGTAAATACTTATTTATTATTATTAACAATATAAAATATTTATACATATATTATACATTATTATACACAAAAAATCTACTTTTCTTTATTTTTACTAGGAGTAGTTTTAATTCTATCAATCTTTATTTTTATCTTATAATTTAAATCTATATTAAAATCTGACATTTCTTTCTCCAACAAGAAATTTGACACATAAAATGAATCCAGGTTACCGAACTGCAATATGTAACGAACTTTGTTTCTGTGACGTATTTGTTTTATTCCAACTATGACTAATTCCGGTTTGCCCGGTATTTCTTCCAAATGCCGACACTGTGTAACCTTAACATAGCCACTTATTTTTTGCATGTTTATTTCTTCGATTTGTTGTATATCGTTTTAATTAAAAGGTAAATCATCCATATCTCGTAATACTTCCGAAAAAAATTGAACATTTTCCACCTTTGCGAACTAATTACCATTAAATGTAGTTACTCTATTAGTATTAAATGTTATTATAGTTTCTTCTATCGGGAGGACTATTAATACCATTTCGTTAAACGGAATTAAAACGTATCCTTCTTCTTTAAGTTTTTCTCTGGTGTTGTGAATATTTATAAAAACATTTTTAAAAGAGCCTTTTAAGAAGTATACACTTATGGTCTCATCTTTTTCGACACCGTTTTATTCGATGTCAATTGCTAAAATGTGGACAAAATTGACAGACAGTTTACAGAATAGCTGTTGCATCGTGTTTAAAAATGTCTTACAGTACGTATATTGGGGCAATTCGAATACGAAAAAATCAACTGGAATACAAATTCAATTATCCGATAATCGAGAACAGAGAGATAAGATCATAAAATATACTCTTTCTGCGTATAGTTTTAACGGTTTACCTATAAACTGTATAGAAGTCGTGGAGGACGAATCAAATAACGAAAACATTACAATAATACAAAAATGTTATATTAAAGCGGGCGAAACGTTTTTCTCTAGATCCGGGACTATTTTCTCCATCATCTCGAAGGAAGTAAATATCGAGTACACTGGATTGATCAAAACTAACAATGTTGTTCCCCAGATTCTAAGGAAAAGATCTAACATAACCAATGAACTGTCTCCGTATACAATAAAAAAAATAGACCCTCTCGTCTGTATACGTAACATCTGCGGGAAAACAAAAATTAGAATCGGAAGAAATAAATACGAAAAGAAGAAAAATAGATTATTTGTCAAAGACAATCTCCATTAAAGAAGAACATATGCATCTGTTAGAGAAAGAACACGTGGCTGCGCGATAAATATTCTGTATTTTAAAATTGAATAGGTACCTAATTGTTATTATTAACTGAATTATTCAGAATAATCTTAATTACACATAATAAATAGGCGTGTACACGAGTTCGCGATCAATATGATATAAAAATATTAATAGAAATAAATGAATTAATTTTGATCGTAATCACTAAAAATTAAAATAAATAACAAAAAAAAAAAAAAAAAAACGAAAATATATTTTATGTATTTTTATATTAAAGAAAAAAAACATTAGGTAATTATACAGTTTATGAATTTATGTAAACAATTATAAATCCAATTACTGTCTAAACTAAACGATATCAAAATAAATGTATGCAATATAATTTTTTTTTTTCCGAACGAATATTGGAGATATTAATTTAATTTAGTTTGCCTCTGTATTATCTGAAAATGAAGACTCTGAGCTCGATCGAGCTCTGCTACCAAGTCGAACCTCATAAATTCAACACCATACTTTTTTCTTTTCTTCTTATTCATAACATCTTCTGGTTTCGTACGGGTATTAATTTCGATTGTCTCATCGTCTGACGAACTATCTTTAATGATGTTCTCTACAGTATTTATTTGACTCTCATTTGGCCGTGTCATACTTGGACAATTTGGTTGATGATTAAGCTGGAACGGCTGATCCCTTTCTGTTTCTGCAGAAGGTTCAGTATCAATGTTTATGATTTGAACATCAGATTCCCCAGAAGCAGATTTAATTTCAATAACTTCTGACGGCGACATAACAATAAAAGGAGAATTTTCATTATCTTCGTCATCCGTATTCACTACATTCGGTTCATCCCTATGATCCGGTGATGTAACATATATTGGTTGCTCAACTATATCTTCATTATTTAATTCGGAGTACTCAGAATACAGCATGGAATATTGAGAGAAATAGCTACCATGAGCGTAGCGTACATTAAGATCATAGTCAACCAATCTATATGGACTACTTGCAAAGTTATGTAACTCGTGGAGGAAATGCTCGGCGAAGTTTCCAATACAAGGAGTTAGTATGGTTATCAAACGCGTGTTTGTTATATCATACAATACGATTAAACGCATTATAAATGATGTAAAAACTCCATCATTAGTACTTGCAAAAGGAGGTCTATGCGTCATATCAAGTGAAATAAGAGTTCTTAAAACATTTACTTCTCTTAAGACAAATGCACGTAATCTCAACGTATGTGTTGGATTTTCTCTATAAAAAGTTAAGCTACAATCTCTGAATTGACCCCTCAAATCGGGTAATGGCTCAGCCCACATATTCTCTGCATATACTCGTCTTCTCATTACTTGACCATCAATATTAAGTAAGTCGTCCGTTATAGCAGCTGAATTATTATCAATACTTTGGCTGCTTGAATCTTCATTGTTTTCATTGTCTGAAAGAACGTTGATACCGAAATTTAAACTATTATCTCGGCTTTGCACATTTAATTCAAAATTATGAATATCACCACTTGGTGTTCGGTCTACATTACTTTGATCCATGTTATTCTGCATATTGAAAATTAGCCAACCGAAAGACAGATTGACGTATAGTATCTCAACGGAAAAACACGGTGATACCAAAATGAACACGTCTAACTTTTCANTTGGCTGCTTGAATCTTCATTGTTTTCATTGTCTGAAAGAACGTTGATACCGACATTTAAACTATTATCTCGGCTTTGCATATTTATTTCAAAATTATGAATACCACCACTTGGTGTTCGGTCTACATTACTTTGATCCATGTTATTATGCATATTGAAAATTAGCCAACCGAAAGACGGGTTGACGTATAGTATCTCAACGGACAAACACGGCGATACCAAAGTGAACACGTCTAACTTTCCAAAAGAACGTGGATAAAACCTCACTGTGACCTACTCGAGTGTATTCTCAATATGGCACTCCCTTGGCGCTAACGTGGACCTGAAAAATCACGTCACTGCCCGGTATCTGGGCGTCCGTGTGATATGTTATACAATTAGTATACAAAATAGGTAAACAACCGTCGACCGCCAAAGGCAATACTGACCACCCTTTCTTTTTGTAAATGTCCAAACGTTATCGTTCATCAGTGATCGCATAATATTTGCATACAACAGCAACTGTCACGTTCAGCAGTCGGTATGATCCTTGTGCTCGAACGGTGTTCGCATGTGAATCCAGTGGCTGGAGTGCGAGGCGGAATTCGTAGAAATATATTATGCAGTTATAACAGTACACTCTGTTTTAGAAACAAGTCTACTAAACTTTACTGTTAATAATAATTTATTTTAACCATTTAATCGTTATGACGATTTCAAAAAAATCTATAGGTGTGTTACTATAGTTATGTGGAACAAACAATTATGAGCGGTGGACGGCTCGCTACGCATCTACTTGTTTCACTTACCTCACTCACCATACTATGCCTCTGAATAGTTCTTTTTTCTTTCTTTTTTTTTAACTTCCCTCATTCTCTCAAATTAAATATTCAACGTCGTTTTTTAGATTAAAAATAATTATAATATGATCCTATTTTCTATTCTCAATTATACCGTGTCATATTATATTTGAATTAATGTACAGTAAAACCTCTTTATAACGAAATCGCTTGGTGACGATTGATTTTTCCGTTATAAAGGAATTTCCGTTCTAGGGAAACCGATATATAGGGGATATAGGTTATGCAGAACTGTTGTTGTTTTTCATTTAATACCGGCCCCCTATAAGGGGTATAAGGAGGTTTCACTGTATTATTCTAGAGTAAAATTTTCCCCCGCTTATATTATGCATTATATACGTAAATGTTATTAATAAATCAATAAATAGGTAGTCGAATACATAATGATAATACAATTTATTACACAACACTACAACTATACCTATACTACTTCCAAAACAAAATGGTAAATTTGAGGAGAAAATGGAAAAAGACGGGGTTTAAAGTTTAAATTCTCAAAAACATGTCCTTGATACTAACGCAAGTCATGTAAAAAACGGCAAGCTTCTGGCTTCATTTAGAAGGCCTATAGAAATTGGGGTATTAAAAATAAAAATCACCTTCCTCTCATGAATGATAAATTAATATATACATGTTAATATAATATGATGTACAGATTTAATGAATAAAATGAAAAACGCACGGAATTTCGCTTTTTATATTTTGTACAAAAATGTCATCAAATATTTTCTTAAAAATAGAAAAAAGAGCCAAAATTATGCACTTGTAAATACAATTTGGAGAAAAACAGGTTGATTTGTTATGCAAAATAAAACTTATATGTTTTGAATACCAATTGCAGGCATAATGAAACGAATCTATATTTAAGAATTTATCCAATAGGATATGCAATTAAAGAAAAAAAACAATATCTGATAACATAAATTTTAAAGTCAAATGCAGTAGAACCCATCTAATACGCTCATTTTTTACGAGATCCTTAATTTTGGCAACGTTTAATATGTAATTAACTCCCTATAAAACGCTTTCCTTGTCAATGATTTTCATATAAAATTTAATGAAATATCTCACTAAGTAATAATAACAATACTAAATAACCTACTTAAAATAATTAATTACTTGTTATCGGACGATAATATTCATGATTTAATTTTCCAGTTAAAAATTTAAATTTATTACAAATTTTTTTATGGCCACAATAATATTATAGTTTTGTATGTATCTACATGTTTGTTACACATTATTTTAAATTCTATAAAATGCTTACCCAAAATTAAAGTAACACGTAACTTGTATCCAGTTACACTATGTACTGTAACTTGCCAATCCCTGAAGTTTTCCTTTGTAGGTATCTGTTATTAAGTTATAATATAACTTAAGAAAAATGCTTGAAAATTTAACACAAAGTTAAATATTATAGGTTGTACTTAGTGGTCTAAAAAACAAATTTGAGTTTTATGTATTTGTTGTTTTTTTCATAAGCGTTTTAAGATCAAATTTTGACGATAATCGGAAAAACTACATTTCAAAACATGTATAACCAAAATTTGCTAAGAATCCTTTTTTATTAGCAACAGTTGTTTGAAAATATAAATTAAATAATTATCTGTACTCTATCATCCCATCTTCTCATGCACAGCAATGACACATCCATCTCCAGTATCAGTTGAATTCTCTATAAAATTTGTACGAGTAGTAGCAAAGTAGTAGAGCCTAACCTAACCTTACTTAACCTAACCTAGTAAGCCTAACCTAACAAGAGTAGTAGCATAAACATATAAATTATAACAAAACCCTCGTTAATCTTAAGTAAGTGGGGCATTAATTCCGTTGTTTGACTCTCGTATCGCTTCGCTCTGCACCATAGCGCAGGATACAGAGATGTGTTATTATTTTAAATTAGCACGCGACATGTGACATTCAAAAAAATAATACGAACGTAACTTGGAACGTATAATTTAATAACGTCACGTTTTTTTTTTTTTTATATAAGACATTATTTTGAACATCTGTTGATAAACAAATAATAAACGCACGCGCACATATACGACAACGATACATAAAATCTATAACATCTTTTAGAGTAGTTATAGCTTTTATGTTTAACTTTCATACTAATACTAATCTACAACATTAATAGGTTTATAGTTATTACCCACTTAAGGTTAAAGTAATTATTGTTTATTATTAAAGTATGGAAATGAATTTAAAAAATATTATAACATATATCTAGGTATTTATTATATTAATTGTTTTTTTTAGAGTATACTTTACGTTAAATTTATCGTTTATCACGTTCATCGGGACATGAGCGTTTGACACGCATAAATTGTAAATTGTTATATACATTTACACGTGTAACAGTATTATTACGCATTATTTTTAAGGTTAATGTCAATAAACATATTTAGATGACTGCGTATACTTTAGTCGACCTAAAAGCCAATCAAAACTGTAGTACTTGTGATTGACGGATTTTAACTAACAACGATTAACCATGGTTAACGAAAAATCGATTTTTACTAGAAAACTTGATCTAAATTATAAACTATAGCATCTTTTTTGTAAGGTAATTTTCACTAGTTGGTGCATCGAAAAATTTGATTTTTTAAAGGGTTTTCGAAATAACCAGGAAAGAAAATTATAGGTAAAACGGTAAATATTTATGGTGCACCACGACGTAACCATTTTAATTGTGTTATACTTAAAATGTCTACCAGAAATATTACTTCAATCGAAAAATGACAATCGATTTTATTCCTTTTAACACATAGCCATTGACAGAAAAAGTCGTTTTTTTTATCTTAAGTATTTTTCATAATAATTGTGAAAATCCCAGACGAACCATACGATTTTTTTTTCAAATTACGGCATAACAACTTCATTATTTTATATAATTTTCCACGAGCTTTCCAATTATCCTGTACTCAATTTTAATCAACGTGCCTGAATGTGCAATTTATACTATGTATTTTATAGTGTAAAAAAAAAATCTAATTTCGTTCATGATTATAACCAAGTAAAAAAAATAAATAAAAAACAAAATAAAATCGATAGGTGTTTAAACTCGAAGTATTTATCGAGTTTAATAATAATAATATTTAAAATAATAAAAACAATATGATTACGATAAAATTAATAAATTCATAATTTCCGTAAGCAGTGAGGCGTACGTTATACTATCCTATTGCGCCTAAAGGAACAGGAATAATCCGAAAAAAATGCCCATAAAAAGGAAACGCGATCGCATGCACGTGGCAAATAAATCAAACGAGCACTCTAGTGTACTTGAATTGCCTATACATTTCGCCCATCATAAAATAATAATTAAATAATTTATGTTATTTGCGTTGCATAGCGTTGGTCTGGGCAGATAAATATAGCTGCCCAGATATACATAATAATGTATTTCGTTTTCGTCAAAATTGTAACAGAAAAATACCTTCTAAGACCGGGCATTTTAAAATTGTAAACCATTGTATAAACACCATTGGATTATTATTATTATCAAGGGTACAGGAAAAAACATTTTAAAATACTATAACTACACTAGTTGCATACGGCCACTTTCACACCTAAGGACATTGGAACCAATCATACGATTAGTCAACTGTCGGTATTCGGTTTGTGCTCAAAGTAAATCGGCTCACGAGCGCCCGAATGTGTTAAAAAGTGGACGCGGCTTAGGCTTACGACGTACTGGGTCATGCTCTTTTTTTTTTTGGAGAAAAAATACAGACAATAAGGGGTCTTTTTATTATTAGTAAACTACAAAACCAAAATTGCTCAAAAAAACAAATGGTTACACCAAAAAATCCATAAAAACGAAGCTAATATAATCGTTTGTTTTTGGATTTTTTTAATTTTGTAATAAAGAGTGTTGAAAAATGAGTAAATCGATTCGAATGAATTACCGCTGGGCAAAAAACCCGCATCTCGTACAATGTGTACGGTGTGAAAAATTGCGAATATTAACGCTGACCACAATAAGGGTTTTCCACGTCCAACACAGCGACGTCTCATCAATTTTAAATTATGATCTATATATTTAGTAAACAATACAAATAAAACTATTTTTTTTATCAACGATTTCATTCCCGGAATCTTGCGCTTATGTTTTAAAAGAACGCAATTACAAACGCATCCATAGCCTTTCACGTGCATTTGTAACGTAAACATAAAAATAAGTGCCAAAAATCAGACTTTGAACAAAGTTAACGTTGAACAAATGAAAGTATAAAAATACGAACCCTGAGTTTATATAATATATAACGACAGCTTTTTTTTGCTAACTGTGTTTATAGTTTTTTTTTTTTTTTAATAAACTCTCGTCTGCAGATGTTTTTTTTATCTATCTCTCGCTAGTTTTTTTAAATTATAATTGGACGGATAAAATCGTTTTTGCACGTTAAATCTCAAAACGCATATCTTTATTATGCAGGGGTCCTGAGAAAAGTTCGTATACGTGCATATCACCTAATCGGATGCAATAGTAATACTCGGTAGAAATTATAATTATAAATTACAGTCGACTAGAAAAATAATAACTGCGCAAAAACGTCGTGTAGAAAAATACATAAATGGAAATGACGGAAAGACCACGAAAAAAAAAATTAAAGTAATTACCATATAATATATACCGTATGGTAGTTATTGTTCTGTTTTTTCGGGTATTGTAAGTTTACAAAATATTCTGGTCGCAGTTAATTTTGTATTTTAGATTTTAAGTGAAACGAAGATTACAGAGTTTTACAAAGATGTTTATTTTGTTTTATTTTTTATCTGTGCAGAACTTTTCTGCCAGAAGACATACACAGATTTTTAAGTGTGGCACCTTTTCTAAAAAGGAAATCGGTGTGAGGAAATAATTTAAGTAGGTAATTTTTCCATTTTCTGAGGAGTTTTCTCATCAAATTTGAAAAACCGAAAAAAAAACGGGAAAATATAAGAAATGTAGGTATTCGTTAAACTATATTACGGCCTTCTTTTTTTTCTGTGCACAAATTTTCTACCAGCAATTTTGCTCCAAGTTTTAGTGATGGCAATATTTCTAAAAGGACATTTCACTAGCGAGGTATTTTAGCAAGATCATTTTTCGATTTTTCCAAGAGTTTTCCCAGCAAGTGTGAAAAACCGGGAAAAACGTAGGAAGACTCGGAAAATCGGTACAACATTAAACAAATATTATTAAAGAAAATATACAAAGCCTATTTAATTATTTTACAATAAGATCACGTATATATATTGTTGACATAGCATCACTATCGACTGAACTCCACTCAGAATCTTTTATTCGTTTCGTAAGCAAT